ACGATGCTATATATATTCTACGCGAAATGCGCATCGGGAATGACGGAACAAGATTGACATTGAAAATAGATAGATAAACGCAATTAGTATGCATTTCTCAGACTGTATTCCGTCTGACGGCATATGTATTGTTATTCTCTACGATGTCACCTCCTGGCATTACCAATCGTCCGTAATTTTATATCGCGGACCATTGTTTCTGTTCATTCTTTTACGACGGCTCGATAATGGCGCATTTACTCGTGTCATCGATGTCTTCGGTCCGACAAATGGCCGTTATTACGACCATTGTTACAACTCCGTTGAAGTAAGAACGCTTCCTGGTGTCGTCAATTTGTCACGGTTAATTTTACGGCGCTGCTCTTTTGCACTTTCGCTTTCGCGACAGCTTGTAAAACTGCTGGCACGCCCGCGGATACGTTGGCTGTCACCAATCAAATTGTGATCGGTCGTTAAAATAATGCTGTTTCCAATTCTGTTCCGTTGCTGTGCGAAACTTACGCGGAAATTAGATAGCAGACCAAGTGGAAGATCGGGGAACTCTTCTAGCACGTGTCCGTTACTCGGTTCCGAGGTCGCAGAAAAATAAATGTATTACATTCTTCAGATTACATCGTCGACCCCTGTTACGAGCGCTGTCTCGCGTACGACGAGGCGTACCAGTGCTCGCTGGAGGACCCAGAGAAGTTCTGGGGCAACGTGTCGGAATGCATCGACTGGAGCAAACCGTGGACGAAGGTTCTGGACAATTCCAACCCGCCATTCACGAAATGGTAGGTGTTCATTTATAATTTATATACGTCGTCGGGACGCCATCGATTTCGTAGCTCGTTAATCTTTCATGAGCCATCATCTCGCAGACGCCCGTCGTGGCGGGGACATTCCAACAACCCCCGCGAAACGAAACGTTAGCAATTATCTCGTAGAAATGTTTATGGCTACAGAGAACTGTTCTGTCTTAATGGTCCTGCTTGTCATCTCCGTCGAAAGAAATTATTGGCGGTGGTGTTTCGTTCTTTATTGTTACAAGAATCGCGATATAAATAATAGAAGAATGTTCTAACAGTGTTAGAGGGTTGTTGAGAAAAGATATGATAATTTGTCAAAAATAGCTTGCTATAAGAAATAAGCCTGCTGAAATAAGAATATGTATATGAAAAATAAGCTAAATTGCAGTCATTGACAAGCTGAAAGGATATATTTCGAAGGTATAAATATAGTTAAGGATATGATACTTGCCGTTTTACCATAAAACACGATGAAAATTCCAGCACGAATTATCTGCTTCTTAAAAGGCAGGTTTACCTATCAGGCATATTTTGAGATGATATAAATCTTGTCGCTATTGCCACGAGGTTATTCAACGAAGTATTTTTGTTTTTATTAAACAAGAAGCTTTAGGTCAAGTCTAGCTCATTAGCCACCAAACAAAAGTACAATTACAATAATTTGTACATGTAGTGGCGCCTCTTGTGGCGAAAGCTGGAACCTCTGTTCAGGGTCGGTACAGCGCCAATTAGTAAATGGCAAAACGCTCAAACTGCTAGCCAAACGGTGGCGAAATCTGGAAGCTCTGTTCGGCTAACAGTTTCAGCGTTTTGTCATTTACTAATTGGCGCTGCGCGGAGCCTGGGCAGAGCTTCTATGATCCGCCGCAAGAGGCGCAACTTGTCATAAATGGCGTTATTTTTAATTGTCGGAAGTTTACACTGAACTTGAGATGGCAATAATAACAAGAATGATATGTACTCTCTATTCGCAATAATGAATAAAACTTTTTTAAACGATACGCGCGCAGAAGAGTCTCTGGAATCTTTCTGTGCCCAGAGAATATTCCGAAGCGTTTATCTAAGTTTGAATTTCTCTGATAAAAGAGATCGAAAAGGAGGCGAGAAATATCGTGGGTGGAATCGGTAAAAATAAAGGAGGCTAGTCTTCGAGATTGAACGTGTCGCTAAACCCAACGTTTACAATATTAAATCGAACACGAAATTACATTAAAATTTGAAGAAATGAAGACATGTAAAAATTGTAAAGGTTCATCGGCGGAGAATTGAACGCCTGCTACAACGCGGTGGACCGCCATGTTCTGGGCGGGAACGGTGACAAAGTTGCCCTAATTCACGATAGTCCTTTGGTGTCGACGATCCGAAGAGTGACTTATAACGAGTTGCTGGAGAAAACTTCAAAATTGGCTGGATGCCTAGCCGAAATGGGCGTAGGCAAAGGGGATGTAGTGATCATATACATGCCGTTGATACCGGAAACCATCATCGCCATTTTGGCGACCGCGCGCCTTGGTGGCATTCACTCGATAGTGTTCGGTGGTAAGTATACGTTGCTTCAACGTCGATCAAAATTGCATTACTGCCGCAAAATGATTAAGACTCGCCATTTTCCACGCAGGCTTCGCTGCAAACGAATTAGCCGTCCGGATAAATCACGCGCGGCCAAAAGTGATAATTGCGGCCAGCTGCGGTCTTGAACCGACCAAAGTGATTCGGTACGCGCAGTCTGTCCTTTCTACGAAAGTCTGTTATTTTTATTAAAATATTTCGTCGAATCTTATTTACATTACGCGATTTTGCGTGTAGATACACAGACATGCTAAACAAGGCGCTGGACATCATCGCTGTGAAGAGACCACAGTGCATAGTGTTTCAGAGGAGGAACATATGGCAGAGCATCCTCGCAGATGATCAAATCGATTGGGACATTGCGATAGCACGGTCGAAACCTCATCCCTGTCAACCGGTTAAAGCCAACGATCCTTTGTATATCTTGTACACGTCAGGCACGACAGGTAGTTCAATGCAAAATAGAACAAACACATTTTTTGTAAAATCACAAAAATGGAATATTTATCGCTACGTTGAACGGAAGTTGTTAAACAACAACCGAAGCGAAGTTAGCGTAAATAGTGCATGGTGGAAGATGACCAAAACAGCCTTCCAATTCAAGGTCAACCGAAGGGGATCCTGAGATCGGTCGGTGGCCATTTAGTATCCGTCTGTTGGACAATGAAAACGGTTTATGCGATGAACAAAGACTCCGTATGGTGGGTTGCCTCCGACTTGGGTTGGGTCGTAGGTCACTCGTACATATGCTATGGGCCCCTGCTTTACGGCGCGACAAGCGTGATGTACGAGGGTAAGCCTGACAGGACCCCGGATGCTGCACAATACTTCAGGTTCGAGTCTCCAATCTGTTAACAGATGAAAGTCTAGAAAGTTAGATAAAGAGTACAGTCGTTCGATAGAAACTCTGTTAGAAGCAGCCGGACTATTCAGTAATCATTGACAAGCTAATAAAGTTCTGTTTTACCTGAGCTTCTCAACGATTAGGGGAATCCATAGGTTGGTAATAAAAAATTCACGTTTCGTAGGGTGATCGATCAGCACAACGTGAATGCTTTGTTCTGCGTGCCAACGGCGCTTAGAGTGATTAGACGCGCCGATGGGAACCTGGTTTTGGGTCGAAAGTACTCGACGAAGTCGTAAGTCTTTCGTTTCAGAGACATCCTCCTTCTCTTAGAAATTTCTTGCAATCAGATCTGAAGTATCTTCAATTTCGAATGCACAAACTCCACACGTATACACGTTACAGATTGAAGACTATATTCGTGGCCGGTGAGTTCTGCGATTACGAAACGAAGCTCTGGGCGGAGAAGGCGTTCAAAGTACCAATTTTAAACCATTGGTGGCAGTCAGAGACCGGTCACCCTATCACTGCTCGGTGTCTAGGATACGGCCACTATCCTCACATACCGAAGAACAGCACTGGTCCTCCTATTCCTGGCTACCATAGTACGTTCTCCAAAATAACGGCAAACATATCTAACACAGCTCAAAAAGGCTATAAACTTACAACCTTCAAATTCTTGAGAGAGCTTATCATTTTTCTATGACGTCCTGACGGTTTCCGACATTACCCATCGCATGAACAACCTACTGGCGATCCATCAGCCAGAGATCATTAGAATATTCTTTGAAATGTCTGCCCTAAAGCTGATCGGTCGGGAAAAATTGTTCGTAATCGAAGCTACGAATTTTTCCAGTCGATATTCTGAAAGATGATGGTAGCAAGGCCGAGACCAAGGAGCTGGGTAGAATTGTTATAAAGCTGCCGTTGCCTCCAGGCTGCATAGCAACGCTGTTCGAGGCTGATGATCGATTCAAGGAGATCTATTTCTCCAACTACCCAGTAAGTCCAATTTTTCGAAACAAAAATAGCGATATTACCAATCGGCGAAACACATCTTAGGGTTACTACGACACCATGGACGTCGGCTACATGGACGAGTACGGATTTGTTTATGTCATGGCCAGGGACGACGACGTTATAAACGTCGCCGGGCATAGATTGTCCACGGCGGCTCTCGAGAACGTGATTATGGCACACCCTGACGTCACCGACGCTGCTGTTGTCGGTGTGCCTGACCCCACCAAAGGGGAGGTTCCTTTGTGCCTTTACACAATGAGACCAGGTAGGAGTTCGAACTTTTATTGGCCTCTGTGATGCTTCTATTGTGATCGTATCTGTCTATTTTCGTGGACAGAAGCGACGAAGAACGAAGAACAGATCAACGAAGATTTAGTAGCAGCTGTGAGGAGTTCTGTAGGACCCATAGCATCGTTTAGGACCGCAGCAGCTGTGCGAGGTCTACCCCGGACGCGTTCAGGGAAAATAATTCGCAAGTCCATTGCCAATTTGGCACGTTCTAAGCTCGTAATGGTAAGTAAACGGTCCGAGATTCAAGTTTGTCGAGAAACTTGAAACGAACATCGGAAAACAGTTTGAATACGTTTTTTGGCGATTTGAAGTAAAAACGATTTAGAAACCGCTGTTCGGCCACAGTAGGCACTATCTTGAGGCGAATGTCGAGAGAAGAAACTTTCGATCACAAGCATAGACTAGATTATCCTGCTATTTATTTGTACGGGGCACGGCAAAATAACGGAATGGATATTGCAGACGTTCTAAAACATGTGTACTTCTGATCGTACAATGAAACGGAATGTGAAATGAAATTATGGGCTCTCTTGTACGAGATAAAGAGTAATATCGTTTATTCATTCACTATTCGCCAATGTAAAATATACCGTTCTTCGTTTTCTCTTCCAGATTTCAAGTACAATAGAGGACGCGTCGGTGTATCGCGAGATAAAAGAAGTACTTCAGAAGCTCGGATACGCTAAACTAGCGCCGGATCCTCAATGATAACTGTTTAGTTAAGCTTTTACCACTTTTTATTATATAAACTTTTGTCTCTTTTTTTCTCTTCTTCCTCTCTTCTTCTTCTCATAATCGTATATAAAATTGTAATAAACCTACGTACGATATATAGCTGACACGCATAGGAGTGTGTGTGTGCTTGAGAAAGACGCGTCGACGAAACTCCGATTACCCACAACAAGTTAATCCCATATAAATTGCACGGAAATCTATGTGTAACATTGTTCTGAACGGTACAATAAAGTGAACAACCTTTCTTTTTTTTTCTTTTGCTTTTTTAAAAAACAATGACGGTGATCTCGATCGTGATCGGGAAACGAGGTCGGAGCTCAAGCAACTTAATATCATAGCTTTCCACTCGCTGTTATAGGCCATTTCTTATCTCTACGTTTTTCTTCCTTTTTTTTTTGTTTAAATAATTACATCTCAGTGGATCAGTTAACGTCTAAAATGAATAATAGAATCAATCGATAAAAACGAATAAATAAAAGGAAAAAGATCTTCGGTAAGATACCATACACAACGATGCTTTGTTCAGCTTCGTGTGAATCGTGATCAGAGAAAAGGAAAAAAATATATATGTATACGTGGATCGCAATCTCGCTTTAATAATGCCAATCGTGATATAATATTAACAGCTTTAAAAATATAACATAATTCATAAAACGATTATATCATCATTTACCATCATCATGATCGAACAATTGATGTGGAAACGAAAGCTGACTTGGTAACGTCTGGTTTTCATTAATTAAGAAGTATAGGCTTCGTTACGGAAAAAAAGAAGAACACCGAAAGTATAATTATAAATAAAAAAGACAAAAAGGAAAGAAACACAAAAGAAATCAATAGAAGAAACAAGGAAATACGAACGTGTGTTCGTAACGTGAACGACAAAGAAAGAAAAGAAGAAGCAGTTAAAAACGTGTAAAAAAAGCACTCACAACAGATTTGTATATGCTTTGAAAATTCTCTATATTAACTTCCTTTCGGTTCGATCTCGACATTCAGTTTGTTTCGTTTCGTCTTGTGCTGTTCTTGTTCTCGCATTATCAACTAGGAATCTTCGAGACACTTTTTTTCCTGGAGAAGCACAGCTTTAAGAACATCTGATATCTGATGTCGATTAATCACTTAGTACATCGATATAATTTACACGAACGTTGGCAGCGTCGAGCGCGGAAACGTATAAATTTCTCTTTCTTTCTTTTTTACGAGAAAACAGAGCACGTGCAAGCGAAAAGCAAATCAGAACGAACTCAATACACAACCGTAAGAAAAACTACAATTAAATATCGAAATTAGTAGAGCAGTGTCTTTGTTGCAAATTTGTTTTTAATGACAATTTAATAAGAAACAGTATAATAATAATAATAATAATAATAATGGTAATAATAATAATAATAATAATTAATATAATTTTTATAATTATAAATTGTCGTGTAACACTATTCAGCTGATTTTTATTTGAATAAATTTTCTGCCTCTCCTCTTTCCTTTCTCAGTTTTTCTTACCACCAAATTTGTTAATAATAATTATTCAATAATCATTACAATAATATTAATAATATTTGTTATTTTTTTTACTTAGTTTGTTTTTACTCGCGGTAAATCGGTGATCCTTCACTCCCCCTTGTCCCTCGTTCAATGTCTCGCACCTCAGAAGAATAAAAATATCGTGTTTTACAATATTCAAAGGAGACACCGGTTCCATCGTTTGATCATTATTCGATTTTCATATAATTAAACTCCGCTGCGAGTGTCTGTCGTTCCGCTTACCTAATTAAAAGGAACACGCGCGCGCTCTCGAGTTTCATTTACTTTAACTTTAGCTGCTTGTCTCCTTTTTTTCTTTTTATCTATATAATCAAATCTATTTGCTTTTTTTTCTCTTTATTTCAGGTTATAAATACCCCACCCTCCCCCCCGACGTGATTTTCCCCAAACCCCAGCCCAACTGTCTGTGCATACGATGTAATGTGCTTCTTTTTTTTCTCATTTGACGCAGAACTTCGTATAATTCCTTTTTCCATATTTTTTTTCATTTACTTGCATCTTTTGCGTGTAGATGGGTGTATGTTACAATTAACGGTAGCTCGCAAATAGTTCTTGTTACGCTGGTTTAACGTTTTGCTCCTTTGTTAGTATTTTTTCGTTTGTTTGTTTTTAGTTTTTCTCGTGCGTACTGTGTTCGGCTTTGCGTACTCTTCTGCATGTGTTCGTTCGTCGTTTTCCCAAAAAATTGATTAATAAATCCCCATCCGTGGTTACAGTTGAGCAACATTTACTCTACCACTTTCAGCACCTTACCGATCGCGATAGTCTTATCTGGAAAATACAGGACAGAACCAGTTAGCACGGTATTATCGAATGGCTATATATAGATTCTGTGAGTACCAACTGATATTTCTTCGGCACTAACGCCGAAGCGAAAAAATTAATTTGTCTGAGAATAATTCATGAGGCTCTGCTTCTATACAAATGAATACTCACTCTCATCCCTGAGGGTGAAACGTCCCAACTGTGGAAACAATTTAAATTTTTCAAGGCATATGACACCGGAGCACTCGATTCTCATGATGGCCACTTGGTCCTGTTTGACGAACCTCGGCCTGGTTTTGCTCTTCTCGCCCGTCTTTTTATCCACAAGACAGATCAGTGCCTTTACTGTGACTTCCTCGGCCGCGCAATTGATGTGCATCACAGCACTATAGCCTGCGCAGATGATGCTCTTGTGCTCTAGGATTACCACCTGAGCATCAAACACTCTTCCTGTCTTAATGGGATTGTTACTGTCGCAGAGGACGAAACCGGGACTCACGTCCTCCTCCTCGATCCCCTTCAACTTGATCTTAACGTTCTCGCCTGGACCTACTGATGTCACTTCCTCGTCATCCGACCATAATTGGTCTACCGTCACTGCCGTCTAAAGAGACACAAATAAGCGAATTAAAACAGGGAACTATCTGTACGATTTTTACGAAGATGTTCCAACTAAATATCTTAAAGAGTAAGAAGGTATCTTAGATAATGCTTGATTTAACCGAATAATTATGAGTTGAATCGTCGATATTTTACCCTGTTAGGCATAACGAGTAGTGACTGCCCTTTCTTCGCTTCTCCCGCCTCGACCTTGCCCATCACCACTGTTCCCATGTCCTTATATTTATCAACAATTGGCATGATAAAGGGCCCGTTGTTCTTACGATTAAGCGAAGGTAGCGAATCGATGAAGGATATGAACGGTGGACCAGTGTACCACGTACAGAGGTGATCCGGTATTGGGTCTTTCAAGCCGATGCCTAGCTGTCCAGAAACTGGCATAAACGTGAGGTCTTTTGCGGGGTTGAATCCCAGTTTGCGAAGATATGGCAGTATTTTGTCTCTAAATATAAAATCAAATAAACGTTATATACTTCGGTATGGATTAGCCGGTAATCCGTGACACACTCTCTCAGTTCATAATCCTGGTACGTACCTGCATTCATTGTACCTCCCCTCATCCCATTCCACGGTCGGATCATCCATCTTATTTACTAACACAACCAAATGCTTCACGCCAGCGGTTTTAGCCAGCATAGCGTGTTCTCTTGTTTGACCACCTCTGTCAAAGCCGGTTTCGAACTCGCCCTTTCGCGCAGAGATAACTAGAACAGCGAGATCAGCTTGTGCTGTGCCGCCGATCATGTTCGGTACAAAACTCTTGTGGCCGGGAGCGTCTAAGATCGTGAAATGCTTCCGCTCTGTTTCAAAATACGCTCTGCCAACTTCCACCGTCTTTCCCTTTTCCCGTTCCTCTTGATTCGTGTCTAGTGCCCAACTCAAGTACCACGTCTCTCTACTTCTCTCCTTTGCTTCTCTCTCGTACTTTTCGAGGGTTCTCTTGTCTACCATCCCCGTCAATGCCATGATTTGTCCACCAATCGTTGATTTCCCTGCATCTGTAACATAGAATTGTATCACCATTTCGTCCTTACTCTTGTATGTTCTCATGCAGTGCTCCACTTACCAACGTGTCCTATAAAAACAACATTAACATGTTCCTTTTTACTCTTAGTATCTTCCGTTATTTTAACAGGCTTCTTTTTAGGTACTTTAACAACCATCTCTTCGTCTTCCTCATTGTCCACCTATAAACAATTCAGATTTACAAAGATGATGCTGGGTAAAATGAAGATTGTTTGACTACCTACTCAAGCTGTTCGAATGATTCTTATGGGACATTTTAATACGACTATTAAGAATTGAAAATTAAACAAACTCTGAGGGAGCTCCTCCTATGTATGTCAGGCTATTTATAAAAGCTTGAGCATACTTCTTCATCTTCAGGAGTTAACAGAGGATCTCCATCCACTGCCGCTTCTTCCCAGGAATCAGCTGGTTGATGCTCAGGACTAGTATTTATTTGATCAGTGACATTTGGAGGTGGAGCCCCTCCCCCGGCAGGCGGTTCCTCCACGCGGCTGCCAATTGGATCTGTTAGAACCACTGGAGTGGTACTGCCTGAAATAAAAACATTCAATTTGTTAAATTAAAATAGTCTAATCATATTTATTCGACTCAATTCATTAGATACTAAATAGATTTATGGTCTTTTATACATTCGTAGTGATTCATAAACTACAGGTCTTTTATCTAATCAATCATCGTGTGATTAATTGAAAAATGATTATAAAAAATATTTTGTATACATATATAGTCCAATTTTCTAGGATCTTCTTATATAATCAATAATTAAGAAATTGAAACTAATTATACAATGGCTATATATGAAATGCAATATTATATTATCCTAAACATTACTGAAAATCTTTCCAAAATCAAATTGGTACCTAATTATCAATCCAATGTTTTGATTACATGCACAAATATTCTATGTTTAATATTAGCACTAGCATTGCACAACGTTGAGTTAACATTAATAACATAAGTGTACGTACACATGCTCGTGCTTCAAAGAATAACAATTACTAATATCTACTATACAATGGAAGCCTAGAGATATCTTGTCGAAGCTACAAAGTCTATTTACTTTCTGACCATGTGCTGCGATACTACTAAGGTGCTTAGATCTCTGTGCGAGCCAAGCAATAGGGGTTAGTCGGAGCAATTACAACAAAGCATTTGTAAGACCAAGAACTTTAGCTTAACAGAATTGCACAGCATAGAGATTCAGAGTTCGACTGACAGGCTGGCTGCAGAATCAAGTCCATTTCTCTGTTAAAACTAACCATGATGTATTTCAGGGGGCACAGAGGTGGTTACACTATTCGTCATGACAGCGACATTGCAGGAACTGTCGGCCGCGTTACTATCCTGCGGCGAAGAATGAATGCAGAATGAAGGCACGAATTCCGCAGCGTTCACGTTCAAAGTCGAGAATTTGCTCTCGATGGACTTGTCCTGCGGCGGGCCGATGTCTCCGTTGTCCGCCTGCTGTTCCCACGAATCTGGTGCTACACTGTTCGCCATATTTAACAGAGTTCGATAATCGAGCCGGCCTCGTGGATAATTCGTACACGAAAGTCACGCTATGCTATGTGCAGGATCTCGATTGTAACCGCGACTGCGATTGGGACGGGGTTTAAAAAAATAATTATTTACGATATCCGCGCACACCGTAACACGCGTATCGGTACCCCGCGTGCGACCCCCGTGGTCTGTTTCGTTGCTCCACTTCGCCGGAACTACAAACATCAAAACACCAACTTTCAACCCGAGAACGTTCCTCCGTGTGGACCGTGGACGCCGAACAACCCGACGGAAATCGAACGGAAATTCGACGAGCCGATTTACCGTCGCACAACAAACGACGTTTCCAATTCGTTTTTTTTCCTCCAGCCACGATTTTCCCGAAAATATCTCTAGCCGCGACCGGTTATGTTGGCACCACGAACCCGATTCCTGACTGAACACGAACACCAAAACCCATCGTGATAACGTGGAACTTTCCACAAAAAAGCAATATGCTAAAGAGACACGCCGTTTTCACAGCGCTACGCCTTCCCGAACAGAGAACGACAACTCTACGGAACGAGTTTCTTTCGAATTCAACCGAATTCTTCGAGTTTTTACTGGTTTACCCGCAGCATGAGCGTATATGCGCATGCATGCGCATTAGGGTGGCTCTTATTTATTCTTAATGAAAATTTGTTTCAAAATTTGTTCTGCGGCACTCTCCAGAATAATACCAATTGACAAAATACTAATCTGTGCCAAAATTTGAACTGTTTGTTTAACGAAAATACGTACCTCTGAGCCCTTGAACATTAAAATAAATAATTTCATATTCTAAATTATTGATTATATCAAAAAATATATCAGACAAAATTAATAGTATAGACAAGTCATGTTTTTTATATCGTATTACCTTTTTCGTACATCGAACAGTTTTCAAAGAAAATGAAAAAATGTTGGAAAAGATTAAAATTTTCTTTTCTTAATTTTGAAAATTGTACATAACATGTTTTGATTACTTCTTATCAATCAAGACGAAAAAAATGTCTGTATGTATTTTATTTCCTACATTATTTTCTAGAAATTAAAAATCTTTGAAATGGTAAGTATTTTTATAAATTATTGCATCAAAGTTTGTTCAGTTATCCTGGTCTTCGAATGAATTCAAATTTTTGACAGTTTATTTTTTTATCAATTAGAACTAGTCTGTAAGTACCGCGAAGAAAATTCAAAAGTCAAAAATAGGAGCTACCCTAATGCGCATAATGTGTACGCACTATATGTGTGCATATATATATATATATATACAAATATTATCAAATTTATGTTTAAAGTGCACAATTCTGTATGTTAATAAGCGCATAAATG